AACAACCTTAGTACGGTTGTCGTGGTACCACAGCAACTACAGTAAGAAAACTACAGTATTGGGTCATTTGGTTATGATATTATATTTGTTTATTGTATTGAGTTACCATAGCAACTATAGAACTCTTATAAATCTAAGTAATTCCATAGTTGCTATATAGTATACAACTATAGTGTGATTGTCTTATTACCATAGCAACTACAGATATATCCTATAACATATCCAATAGTTGTAGAAAATTACAGTATTGGGTCATTTTTTTTATATTACTGCAGTTGTTTTGTTACTATGGCAAATTTACAACGCTAGAACAACTATAGAATTTGTGTTGGTAGTTCTAAAGTTGCTATGGCAACACAGCAAGCTTAGTATAGATGTGTTACTATAGCAACTACAGATATATCCTATAATAGATCCTACCATTGTAGAAAACTGGAATATTGGGTCATTTGTTTAGGTTATTATAGTCGTTGTGTTACCATAGCAACTTGCTATGGAACAACTATAGAACACTTGTTGGTAATTTTATAGTTGCTATGGTAACACAACAATAGTTGTTGTGCTAGCACACGTATATCCTATAATATATCAAATAGTTGTAGAAAACTACAGTATTGGGTCATTTGTTTATATTACTATGTTGTGTTACCATGGCAACTTCACAATGTTAAAACAACTAAAGAACACTTGTTGGTAATTTTATATTTGCTATGGCAACACAACTATAGCATAGCTGTGTTACTATAGCAACTGTCAACAGATATATCCAAAAATATATCCCACAATTGTAGAAAACTACAGTATTGGGTCATTTGTTTGTTATTATAGTGTTACCATAGCAACTTTAGAACACTTGTACTGTAGAACATGACAGCAATATTATAGTTGTTGAGTTACCATAGCAACTTTAGAACACTATAGAACTACAGTACACTTGTGCTATAAAACATGACGGCTATACTATGGTTGTTGTTACCATAGTAACTACAGCATTACCACCCCAGATTAATTCACGTAGTTTACTATAAAACAACTACACAGTGATGTGCTATACATAATACTGTAGTATTTCTATAATACTCTTATAGCATTTACTATAGTCATTTTCTTGTCTAAGATGCGGCAAATGTAGTCCACAAGATCTGAGCGTGCAGGACATTCAGAGGGAGCACATTCAGAGTCTCACTGCATGGCAACACATGCTGTCAATTTCACACTCTAATTTGCAGTGATTTGATTGGCCAGAAACAGTGAGTGGGGGGAAACGAGGAGACACACACCATCTATCAACATCTCACACACACACATCCACCTACAAGGAGACACATGCAGACCTCAGCCGGAGCTACAGCACACACACTTGTGGAGGAATTTATTTAGGGGTTTCTGTTGCAAACATGAATAATGGACACGGTCACTTTCACTGTTGGGTGTGATTGGTTACAAAATAACTGCAGATACGAACTATTTACTATTAATAATTAATTAAGTCACTGTCCCACACAAACCCAAAGTATTTAATGTCATCGACTTACTAATAAAATAAAAATAACAGTAGATTAAAAATAACAGTAGATTAAAAATAACAGTAGATCACTGTGTGTGTGTGTGTGTGTGTGTGTGTGTGTGTGTGTGTGTGTGTGTGTGTGTGTGTATCTTTGTGTGCGTACTGTACTCATTGTGTAATAGTTGGTCTCTGTGAGTGTGTGTGTGTTATTGTACTCATTGTGTAACATTAGGTCGCTGTGAGTGTGTGTGTGTTATTGTACTCATTGTGTAACAGTAGGTTGCTGTGAGTGTGTATGTGTGTGTGTGTGTGTGTGTTATTGTACTCATTGTGTAACAGTAGGTTGCTGTGAATGTGTGTGTGTGTGTTAGTGTACTCATTGTGTAACAGTATGTTGCTGTGAGTGTGTGTG